AGCAGTAGAGGGCGTTGCAGGAGCAGATGTGACAGATAATCTGTGGTGGCCCCCTGACTAAATTACAAAAGTAGAGGCTTCAAGGAACCTTGGACCCCAAAAACTGTAATTCCAATATCTGAGCCCACTTGTTTTTCTTAGAGCTGATTCCAATAGCTACAACCTCAAAAGACAGGTATAACTGTATGTATTGTTGTCTAGCAGGACCGTACAGTACTGAATGAGAGAACATTTGACTTGGAAAGTTCTCTACTAATCAGCTACAAAAAAGTCAAGCTTACATTCATCATAAATATTCATATTTGATATTATACAGTATATTTCCGCCTATTGTACCACTGTGTTTACAAATCAAATTGTATTTGTCACATGCGCCGAATACAACAGGTGCCGAATACAACCTTACCGTGAAATGCTTACTTACAAGCCCTTAACCAACAATGCAGTGCAAGAAATGGAGTTAAGAAAATATTTACTAAATAAACTAAATCAAATCTAAAAGTAAGAAGTAAATTACATAACAGTAACGAGGCTATATACAGGGGGTACCGGTACCGAGTCAAAGTGCGGGGGTACAGGTTATTCGAGGTAATTTGTAAAGTGACTATGCAATGATAATAAACAGCGAGTAGCAGCAGTGTAAAAACAAAAGGGGGGGGCGGGGTGATAGAAGCTGTTAAGGAGCCTTTAGGTCCTAGACTTGGCGCTCCGGTACCGCTTGCCGTGAGGTAGCAGAGAGAACAGTCTATGACTTGGGTGACTGGAGTTTTTGACAATTTTCCTCTGACACCGCCTAGTATATAGGTCCTGGATGTCAGGAAGCATGGCCCCAGTGATGTACTGGGCCGTACGCATTACCCTCTGTAGCGCCTTACGGTCAGATGCCGAGCAGTTGCCATACCAGGCGGTGATGCAACCAGTCAGGATGCTCTCGATGGTGCAGCTGTATAACTTTTTGAGGGTCTGGGGACCCATGCCAAATATTTTCAGTCTCCTGAGGGGGAAAAGGTGTTGTCGTGCCCTCTTCACAACTGTCTTGGTGTGTTTGGAACATAATAGTTTGTTGGTGATGTGGACACCAAGGAATTTGAAACTCTCGACCCGCTCCACTTCAGCCCCGTCAATGTTAATGGGGGCCTGTTCAGTCCTCCTTTTCCTATAGTCCATGATCAGCTCCTTTGTCTTGCTCACATTGAGGGAGAGGTTGTTGTCCTGGCACCACACCGCCAGATCTCTGACCTCCTCCCTATAGGCTGTCTCATTGTTGTTGGTGATCAGGCCTACCACTGTTGTGTCGTCAGCAAACTTAATGGTGTTAGAGTTGTGCTTGGCCACGCAGTTGTGGGTGAACAGGGAGTACAAGAGGGGACTAAGCACGCACCCCTGAGGGGCCCCCGTGTTGAGGATCAGCGTGGCAGATGTGGTGTTGCCTACCCTTACCACCTGGGGGCGGCCCGTCAGGAAGTCAAGGATCCAGTTGCAGAGGGAGGTGTTTAGTCCCAGGGTCCTTAGCTTAGTGATGAGCTTTGTGGGCACTATGGTGTTGAACGCTGAGCTGTAGTCAATTAACAGTATTCTCACATAGGTGTTCCTTTTGTCCAGGTGGGAAAGGGCAGTGTGGAGTGCGATTCAGATTGCGTCATCTGTGAATCTGTTGGGGCGGTATGTGAATTGGAGTGGGTCTAGGGTTTCCGGCGTGATGGTGTTGATGTCAACCATGACCAGCCTTTCAAAGCACTTCATGGCTACCGACTTGAGTGATACGGGGCGGTAATCATTTAGGCAGGTTACCTTCGCTTTCGTGGCACAGGGACTATGGTGGTCTGTTTGAAACATGTAGGTATTACATACTTGGTCAGGGAGAGGTTGAAAATGTCAGTTTAGACTTTTGCCAGTTGGTCCGCGCATGCTTGAATACACGTCCTGGTAATCAGTCTGGCCCCGCGTCTTTGTGAATGTTGACCTGTTTAAAGGTCTTGCTCACATCGGCTACGGAGAGCGTGATCACACAGTCGTCCGGAACAGCTGGTGCTCTCATGCATGCTTCAGTGTTGCTTGCCTCGAAGCGAGCATAAAAGGCATTTAGCTTGTCTGGTATGCTTGCATCACTGGGCAGCTCGTGGCTGGGTTTCCCTTTGTAGTCCGTAATAGTTTTCAAGCCCTGCCACATCCGATGAGCATCAGAGCCGGTGTAGTAGGATTCAATCTTAGTCCTGTATTGACGCTTTTCCTGTTTGATGGTTCGTCTGAGGGCATAGCAGGATTTCTTATAAGCATCCGGATTAGTATCCCGCTCCTTGAAAGCGGCAGCTCTAGTCTTTAGCTCGGTGCGGATGTTGCCTGTAATCAATGGCTTCTGGTTGGGATATGTACGTACGTTCACTGTGGGGACAACGTCGTCGATGCACTTATTGATAAAGCCGGTGACTGAGGCGGTATACTCCTCAATGCCATTGGGTGAATCCCGAAACATATTCCAGTCAGCTCTATATTTCCAAGATGCATGAAGATATCCTAATGCCTGTTTGTTTGTGTATGTAGGACAGACAACTGGCTACTTGTATTCCACATTTTAGCAATATCAGAGCTTGCAATATTTTCTGAACTTTGAGTTCAGGGAGTGTGTCACAATATCTATCATTTTAACAACTTTTGCAGTAAAATATTTTTGGGAGACATTAGGGATGTGAACAAAACATGATTGTGTTTTGTTCTACCTCAGGTAGGGGTATCTTAAAAGTAAAAAATGTGGGGGCCTTGCCATAACTTAGATCTGTATCTCACTGGAATGTCACATGATGTGGTAGAAGTGGAATGCAGGCTGCTTTGTTATGATAACAGTTGTGTTCTTTTATTTACATGTAATGCCTTTGATTCAGTAACTGTGATACTTGTGAGAGGAGGTTTTCACTCAAAATCTCACGATACATGGCCCCATTCATTCTTTCCTTTACACGGATCAGTCGTCCTGGTCCCTTTGCAGAAAAACACCCCCAAAGCATGTTGTTTCCACCCCCATGCTTCACAGTAGGTATGGTGTTCTTTGGATGCAACTCAGCATTCTTTGTCCTCCGAACACGACGAGTTGAGTTTTTACCAAAAAGTTCTATTTTGGTTTCATCTGACCATATGACATTCTCCCAATCCTTTTCTAGATCATCCAAATGCACTCTAGCAAACTTCAGACGGGCCTGGACATGTACTGGCTTAAGCAGGGGGACACATCTGGCAATGCAGGATTTGAGTCCCTGGCGGCGTAGTGTGTTACTGATGGTAGGCTTTGTTACTTTGGTCCCAGCTCTCTGCAGGTCATTCACTAGGTCCCCCCGTGTGGTTCTGGGATTTTTGCTCACCGTTCTTGTGATCATTTTGACCCCACGGGGTGAGATCTTGCGTGGAGCCCCAGATCGAGGGAGATTATCAGTGGTCTTGTATGTCTTCCATTTCCTAATAATTGCTCCCACAGTTGATTTCTTCAAACCAAGCTGCTTACCTATTGCAGATTCAGTCTTCCCAGCCTGGTGCAGGTCTACAATTTTGTTTCTGGTGTCCTTTGACAGCTCTTTGGTCTTGGCCATAGTGGAGTTTGGAGTTTGACTGTTTGAGGTTGTGGACAGGTGTATTTTATACTGATAACAAGTTCAAACAGGTGCCATTAATACAGGTAATGAAAGGAGGACAGAGGAGCATCTTAAAGAATAAGTTACAGGTCTGTGAGAGCCAGAAATCTTGCTTGTTTGTAGGTGACCAGGTGCTTGTTTTCCACCGTGGTTTGCAGATGAATTCATTGAGGGTCCTACAGTGTGATTTTCTGGATTTTTTTCCCTCAGTTTGTCTGTCGTGGTTGACGTGTGCCTGTGGTGGGGGTTGCGGGCCTCTCTCATCTTTTTGGGTGGGAGGGCTTGCACAATTGGTGGCTGACTGGATGCTTTTTTTCCCCACTGTATATATAGATATAGAATTATTGTAAAATTAACTCTGTCCATAAGGTGTAGATAGTAAGTATAGACCGGAAGTAGAGGCCTGGGCGTTGTTGTTCACTAATTTACTCCAAGTAGGGAAAGGATGGTGGGGTTGAAAAGTAATAAAGGGGAATATATACATAAAAAAAAAAAAAAACATGGGGGATTGGAAGTGATGCAGACAATTACATTGATAGAAGATACAATCTATCTGCAATATTAAGCTGATCCATCCCCCCAAAGAGAAGAAAAAAAAAAAAAAAAAAAAAAAAAAAAATATCAGAGCTTGCAATATTTTCTGAACTTTGAGTTCAGGGAGTGTGTCACAATATCTATCAATTTAACAACTTTTGCAGTAAAATATTTTTGGGAGACATTAGGGATGTGAACAAAACATGATTGTGTTTTGTTCTACCTCAGGTAGGGGTATCTTAAAAGTAAAAAAATGTGGGGGCCTTGCCATAACTTAGATCTGTATCTCACTGGAATGTCACATGATGTGGTAGAAGTGGAATGCAGGCTGCTTTGTTATGATAACAGTTGTGTTCTTTTATTTACATGTAATGCCTTTGATTCAGTAACTGTGATACTTGTGAGATTGGGGACATGACAGTTGTTTGTACATTGAGAGTATGCTGTGAACTCTAGACACTCACTCGCTCGCTCACTCGCTCACACACAGAAAGAAACATGAGCATGAGTGGAATTCCCCACTGATGTCATACTTCTTTATTTGTACTCAAAAATAACTCCTAAATCTGTGGGACAACCTCTCAAAAACCCCACTTTGAAAGTAATGACAGAAACAGAACGATATTTACCTATTGTTTAGACCCAGACAGAGTTGAGATGAGTTGAGAGTTGTTCTGTGACTTCCTATTCTCACATTATAAATACTACATTTAAAAACCCTCTGACAGAGTTGAGACAGAGAAGCAGCCTAAGTTGTTGTGCGACTTCCTATATTCTAACATCATTTGTATGTGGGTACAGGCAGCAGGGTATGTTTGGACTTCCTTTTTAGGCAGACAACAGAGACTGAAAGTCATATTGACTCTCCACCACATGCTCTGTGGAGGCTTTATACAACTTGGGCTGGTGTTCATCACATCAGAGGATTCTGGATCAGTTGACAGTTGGATCAGGTCAAAAACAAGTGTAAAATCTGCACACTAGAGAAGACAGCCTTGACCAACCTTGACTTCTTATTTAGTTCTTATTTATTTTTATATTTCCTTTTGGAGTGCAGTTTTTGAACTTTTGTCAGGTTCATTTGTTGGCTCAGATCAGTCATGGACCGAGGTTCACTGTCCGCATCATTATCGTCGTCTGAGGAGGAGGAAGATTCTTCACCCTACAGCGCCAGTGCTCTCCTGCAGAACCCAGAGGAACATGGGGCTACAGAGGAATCAAGGTATGCATGTCCAAAACACCACAAGTGTGGATGATTAAACCCAGCTGACACATTTGATTTCTTGGAAGTTGTGGGAATGTACGTTTTTGATTTCCCATTGGTTCTGGGAATGAACCCATACGTTTCCTGTCCGGTAAAACTGAACGTTTTTTAATAAATCTTCTGAGGACAAAAGTGAACTTTTAGCCTGTTCTGGGAACATAACTTTTTTGGTTGCAGGGAGGTTCTGAGAACATTTTACTGCTAGCTTAGGTTAACTGTTTTGAATTCCAAGCACAGATATGACACATAGAAATTAATTTGCTTAGGCATTAATCATGCAAACACATTATGTTTATTTTTCATTTCTTGTGGCATGGCATCAGTGAGATTCGAACCTATGATCTTCTGCTTGCTATCCATGGAATAAGTCCACTACGCCACAAGGATGGAGCTAGCATGCCATGTTCTTTTTTAACTTATACAAAGCTGTTCATTTTAGTCTATTCAAACAGACCCCATTTCAAAGGAAACAAACACTCATTAAGATCAGGTGTGGCCAATTAGTGGGCGAGGACAACACAGCTGAACACACTTAACAAGAGAGGATAGAGATCGTTTGTTGATGCTGAGAACAGAATGTATGTTTTTAAATAACATTCTTAGAACGTTTATTGAACGTTACACACTTTTTCTTGTGTTTTTTATGGAAACTTTTTGTTATGTTCTGAGAACATAACTTGAAATAGAACCATGAGGAAATCTGTAGAAAAAACGTTAGGCTGAAGTTCTGAAATTCCCACGGAACAACGTTGTTTCTTAACGTTCTCCGAACAATTTGAGAACATTACTTTAAATATAGCCGTAAGGAAACCTGTAGGAAACATTATGGAAATGTTGTATGCAAATAACCATAGGACAACCAGGCTCACCAGGTTCTAAGAAACATATGGTTCTTAGAACATTATGTGCTAGCTGGGAAAACACTTACAGTACAATCAGTAAATAACAGGGTGTGTGTGAATAAATCATGTGTGGGTGATTCCAGCTACATTAAAAAAGGAACTTGGTATGTCAGGGGAGTTTCCCAGGTCAATAAGTTGAATTGTCCCTCACTGTTCAGGTCACATGACTACTGCTGATGCTCTATGACGTGTTCAGTAGCATTAAGGGGGAACCAAGAACTCTGTTCTAGTTATAGTAAATGTCAGTGCACTACCACCTGTGCCAATAAGGCACAGACTTCTCAGCAGAGGTTGTGGTGCACTCACATACAAGAAAGCAAAAAAAAATATATATATATATATATTTGGCAATTTGTCTCCAAATAAAACACTACTTAGACTGCAATGCAATTATCTGTTTACTCCTGTGGAATGACATTGCAGAATGAGAATGAGAATTAGATAGTCCTGTTGCATGGAAGTTGTCCTGAAGGTTTGTAGTATAGATAGTATAGATCTGATAGTAGTATAGCCTGCTACTGCACAGCACATCAATAGACATTGGTGACGTCCCAAATGTCCTCCTATTCCCTAGATAGTGCACTAATTTTGTCCAGAGCTCTATAGGCCCTGCTCAAATGTAATGCACTATGAAGGGGAATAGGGTGCCATTTGGGACATACAGTGCCTTGCAAAAGTATTTATCCCCCTTGGCGTTTTTCCTATTTTGTTGCATTACAACCTGTAATTGAAATTGATTTTTGTTTGGATTTCATGTAATGGACTTACACAAAAGTCAAAATTGGTGAAGTGAAATTAAAAAAATAACTTGTTTAAAAAAATTCTAAAAAATAAATAACGGAAAAGTGGTGCGTGCATATGTATTCACCCCCTTTGCTATGAAGACCCTAAATAAGCTTTGGTGCAACCAATTACCTTCAGAAGTCACATAATTAGTTAAATAAAGTCCACCTGTGTGACCAAGGAGCTCTCCAAACAGGTCAGGGACAAAGTTGTGGAGAAGTACAGATCAGGGTTGGGTTATAACAAAATATCCTAAACTTTGAACATCCCACGGAGCACCATTAAATCCATTCTTAAAAAATTGAAATAATATGTCACCACAACAAACCTACCAAGAGAGGTCCGCCCACCAAAACTCACGGACCAGGCAAGGAGGGCATTAATCAGAGGCAACAGAGACCAAAGATAACCCTGAAGGAGCTGCAAAGCTCCACAGCGGAGATTGGAGTATCTGTCCATAGGACCACTTTAAGCCTTACACTCCACAGAGCTGGGCTTTACGGAAGAGTGGCCAGAAAAAAGCCATTGCTGAAAGAAAAAAATAAGTTAACACGTTTGGTGTTCGCCAAAAGCCATGTGGGAGACTCCCCAAACATATGGAAGAAGGTACTCTGGTCAGATGAGACAAAAATTGAGCTTTTTGGCCATCAAGGAAAACGCTATGTCTGGCTTAAACCCAACACCTCTCATCACCCCGAGAACACCATGGTGGTGGCAGCATCATGCTGTGGGGATGTTTTCATTTTCAGGGACTGGGAAACTGGTCAGAATTGAAGGAATGATGGATGGCACTAAATACAGGAAAATTCTTGAGGGAAACCTGTTTCAGTCTTCCAGAGATTTGAGACTGGGATGGAGGTTCACCTTCCACCAGGACAATGACCCTAAACATACTGCTAAAGCAACACTTGAGTGGTTTAAGGGGAAACATTTAAATGTCTTGGAATGGCCTAGTCAAAGCCCAGACCTCAATCCAATTGAGAATCTGTGGTATGACTTAAAGATTTCTGTACACCAGCGGAACCCATCCAACTTGAAGGAGCTGGAGCAGTTTTGCCATGAAGAATGGGCAAAAATCCCAGTGGCTAGATGTGCCAAGCTTATAGAGACATACCCCAAGAGACTTGCAGCTGTAATTGCTGCAAAATGTGGCTCTACATAGTATTGACTTTGGGGGGGGTGAATAGTTATGCACGCTCAATCTTTCTATTTTTTTCTCTTATTTCTTGTTTGTTTCACAATAAAAAATATTTTGCATCTTCAAAGTGGTAGGCATGTTGTGTAAATCAAATGATACAAACCCCCAAAAAATCCATTTTAATTCCAGGTTGTAAGGCAACAAAACAGGAAAAATGCCAAGGGGGGTGAATACTTTCGCAAGCCACTGTAGACATTATTTGGTTCATAACGTGTAGGCCAGTAGTAAAGCCATACTCCTTACTCAGAGAGAATAATATTATCCATAGACCCTTTTCATTTGTATAGGATAATACATTATATTCCCAACATGGCAGCCTGCTAAAGACGAAGGAAGATATTATTTCCCTTTCTTTTTCATGCTAGATTACAATAAATGACCAAACCGCCACGGGAAGAAATGTAATCTTGTTGTCCTTCCAAGACAGTGTTTATGATTGAAAACTTCCTTTATCTGGGTCACATTCATCTGCTGTCCAAGAGGAAGGAAATATGGTGGATATTCAGGAGACATAAGGGCTGGAGACTGGATCCATCTGTGAGGTTGAATGGACCTGGACAATTTGTTGATGGATATGTTCTATACTATATGATTCAAGCCAAATCAAACAGACAAAATAGGGTGGTTATGCCTCAAAATTAGTGTTCTTTAATTCTGATGATACCCTAGTTTTGAGAAAAAAAGAACATTCTGGCAACAAGAGATTATAGTGCACCTAATTTGCCTTAAACACACAAAAACATCTTCACTGAAATCATTACCTTTGTCATTGAGTTGATGAAGCCATCAAGCTTTGAACAAGGTGATCTCAAGAGCCAAAGTTTCCTCCAGCCACAAGAAGCATGCAGGCGGCACAGCACAGGGATCATTAGATGGTGATGATGTGAATCTGCTGCAGTTGACAAGTAGCTCACAGGGGAATGTACTAGATCAGGGGTAGGCAACCCTGTTCCAGGAGAGCCGCAGATACTGAAGGATTTCTGTTCCATCTAGGCACCACACCTGACCAACTGGGCTAATTAATCGGTTCAGTGATTGACTAAATTCAACACACCTGGTCTTCTTCCAGGTTGGTTAAATCAAAAACATAGGACCAGGATTGCCTACCCCTGTACTAGATTGTAGAATGTATCAAGGATGTGTTTTTCTCATCTTAGACAAGACACACTTGAAGTGGTGATAAACATTGTTTGGGTGTTTGAGAGTGATGGTGGGTGTATTTGCAGGCATGTGTGAATGCTACAGGGTGTTACTGTGTGTGCATGTGTGTAGGTGTGAGTTCATGCTCCATACCATCTAAGTGTACTCTTTGTGAGTACAAGTATGTGTCTATCTGCTTGCAGGTACAGTATGTTCAGGCGAGTGCTGTGGGTTTCCTACACAATATTCTCACTGTGTGTGTGTGTGTGTGTGTGTGTGTGTGTGTGTGTGTGTGTGTGTGTGTGTGTGTGTGTGTGTGTGTGTGTACACGTATGTACAGGGCGGAGGAGATTGTCCCTGCTGGTGAGAGGTTGCTGTCCGGGGAGGACCAGGGGTCTCTGATCACTGACAGTATGTCAGTCACGTCAGCTGACCAGGAGAAACTGCTGCTGCTCAACAGGAACACTGAGCTACGACGAGTCAACAAAGAGGTGACACACAAAACTACACCGCACCTAACTACAGGAATGAAACCAGAAACTACACCGCACCTAACTACAGGAATTAAACCAGAGACAAGTGTACCACATTCTGTGAATACAAACTATTTCGGAAGAGGCCAGAAAGGATGATGGTGATGATAATGTATGTCTGTGTTAGCTGATGATGATAATGGTGATGACGATGATGATCATGATGATCATGACGATGTGTTTATGTCGTAGCTGATGATGATATTGATGTGTCTGTGTTAGTTGATGAAGCTGAATGAAGACTGGGATCATGTGTATCGCAGCACCACTCTGAGTCTCCAGCAGAGAGTGGAGACTCTGGAGCAGGAGAACAACACAGTCAAACAACTCAACAACACACTGCTGCTCAAAGTAGACCACGAACAGGTACCGACCGACCGGGCAGAGGACACACACGTACACACGCACAAACAGATGAATGCATGTGCACACACAAACACACTGACAGACACACACACACACACTGACTGTATCCTGACTGTGTTTCTGTAGAACAAGAGGGAGTACTATGAACACACACTGATGCAGGAGTTGAAGAAGAACCAGCAGCTACATGAATACGTCAGATTGCTGGAGAATAGACTACATCACACAGACACCACCAGAGACTGGACAATGGGCACACAGGTGCGTCCATTGACTATTATTATTATTACCTCTAGATGCTTTTAAAAGTGGCTGTATGTCCTGCTTTCCTTGAGAATGTATATATAATATCTATACTACATATTATATATATATATATATAATATATATCTATGCATCTACCCTCTCCTTCCATCCTGTAGACCAGTATGAGCACTGTGACCCATCTTCCAGAAACCACCCCAATCTCTGATGCTCCTGGGGGGCCAACTCTGTCCCCCAGCCTCAACCATCGCACCATACCCGGCCTCTCCTCCTCCTCCTCCTCCTCCTCCAGCCATGGCCCACCATCCCACCTCTTCTCCTCCTCCACCCCAGATCGAGGGGCCCGGAGTGGGGGTAGAATCAGCAGTGGCCCCTACAGGGCACTAGAGGACCCAGCTGACCCCCAGAAGGAGGTGCAAGAACTAAAGGAGCAGCTGGAGGCCCTCAGATGCCAGGTAAGTCACCTCACCTCCCCCATCCACTCCCTTCTCCCTCCTCCTCCATACCACCTCCAGTCCCTCCTCCTTACCCCATCCACTCTCTCCTCCATACCTCCTCCACACCCTCCTCCCTCCCTTCCATTCCCCCTCCACACCCTCCCCCCTCCTCTTCCATACCACCTCCACTCCCTCCTCCTCCATACCCCATGTCTCACCTACTGTGTTTCACCCAGCATTAACTACCAGTATCCCTGTCCTCTGTCCAGACTGTGTTTCACCCAGCATTAACTACCAGTATCCCTGTCCTCTGTCCAGACTGTGTTTAACCCAGCATTAACTACCAGTATCCCTGTCCTCTGTCCAGACTGTTATTTATGAAGCAGACTACCAGACGGAGCACAAGGACCACAAACACACCCAGCAGGAAAACCAGAGACTGAGGAGGAAGAGAGAGGAGATGAGACAACAGATGGCCCTACTGCAGGAGCAGGTAGTGGATACACACACACACACACACACACACACACACACACACACACACACACACACTCTTACACACTCTCACACACACTCTCTCACACACACACACACACACAAACTCTCACACACACACACACACACTCTCACACACACACACAAACTCTCACACACACACACACTCTCTCTCTCTCACACACACACACACACTCTCTCTCACACACACACACACTCTCACACACACACACACAAACTCTTACACACACACACACTCTCATACACACACACTCTCACACACACACACATACACACACACAAACTCACACACATACACACACACACACACACACACACAAGCACGTACACACACACAAACACACACATATACACACACACACATATATATATATATCAATTATACACACTAACACACACCTGAATGAATAATGACAGCTGGGCATACGGGATGTATCGTAACAGATGAGGACATAAACTGACATTGGGTTAAGTTGAATGTGAATATAATGTGACACAACATATCCGTAATGACCATATGTTTCATTAGAAGTCGTCTGGGAGATGTGCTGCATGTGAATGTACCAACAGGGCCTTGCTGTAAAGATCATTTTTATTTTATATGCTAGGGTCAGAGTCCATTCCATTTTAGGAGATGCATTGAAACTTCAATTCCAAATTGTAATGGATTTTCAAAAGGAATTAATCAAATAGGGATATATTTCTTGAATTGACTAAAAACGATATAACTAACTAACTAACTAATCACTGTCTCTGGTCTCCTGTGTCCAGCTCAAGGTGTATGAGGATGACTTTAGGAAGGAGCGGTCAGACAAGCAGGTCCTGCAGCGTCTACTGATGAAGAAAAGTCCAGCTCTGGTCAAACAGCCTGTCCTGGTCCACCGCTGTAATAATGAGCAGCAGCCTGCAGGGGGAGACAGAGAGAGGAGGAAGAGAGAGGAGCAGAGAGGTGCTCACCCCAGTACAGCACAACCAGACCACCACCCGCTGTGCCCCAAACACTGTGAGAGGAGGAACACTGAAGAGTCCTCATGAGGCAGACAGCACACATTGAAATTGTATTACGATTTTGGTATTGCCGCTAATGCACATTGAGGCCTAGCCTACTCCAGAGTGTAATTGACCTACGAAATGATTTGTATCTATTATCTTTCTCTGAATATGTATTAACCTTTATGTTATTTCCTAATTCTGCCGATAATGTTGCTTATTGAAGAAGGGACAGAGTGATTTTCCAGTTGTCTCCGCCTCCCTGCTTAGATACCATGGTCAACATCACCACCTAGTGTTTTTTTTAATCATACATAATGTCATGTTTTATGATGCAGTTGTTGGCTAAGGACATCTCCTGTAAAAACCACAGTGAATTCAACTAATGAAATATACCCCTTGATTTCAAAGAACACCGGGATGTCCTTTAAACACATGTGATCAACTTCAGATGTTGTCATTTCTTATAACAAATATAACTAAAGTAAAAAAAAAAAAAAAACTATTCAATGTTTTTTTTGGTCGTTCTAATTTCCCTGGAATAACTCTGCGTCACCAATCAGCTGAGAGGGGTAACTGAAGATGGGTAGTTACTTTCCAGTGTCAAAACATCTCCCATCCATACCTGCTGGTGTCAGTCCTCACCAAGGCTACAGCATATTGCCAATGTAGCTTCTTAAAATTCTAATCCCAAATGGCACCCTCTTCCCTACATAGGGTGCTACCTTTCCCCAGGGCCCAGTGAATAGGGTGCTATTTGGGACGTAACCATTGAATCTGAATACAACACACAACTAAAAGCAAGGGTGCCATTTGGTATCAGTGATATCTGCAGACAGGTTTTTGTCTCAGATGAATACGTTTTGCACAGGGAAATCTAATCTCCTATACGATAAACTCCTCTAGGGCTGTGAGATGGAATGGGATGGTACTGTAATGTGATTACATTCTAACTTGTTTAACCTACTGAGAAAATATGGAAGACAACATATTCCTGCAGCTCTGACACAACACAGCAGTGGTTGTTGTTGTTGGTAGATGGTTCCTCTGCTTTAGTCTCCTTCTAGCCTGAACCAGCAGGTTAAACTGGTAGATGGTTCCTCTGCTTTAGTCTCCTTCTAGCCTGAACCAGCAGGTTAAACTGGTTTCTGGTTGTAATGACGTCATTTCAATCAGTCTTGCACGCTATGGAGGAGAGATAAAACACCATAGAACACACTGTTTGCACTATAGAACATTGACCATAAGACCATAGAGCAGGGGTAGGCAACCCTGTTCCTGGAGTGCTGCACGTACTGCACGATTTTGTCCCAACTAGGCACCACACCTGACCAACTGAGCTAACTGATCAGTTCAGTGATGGTCTTCCAGGTCGGTTAAATCAAAAACATTCCAGAACCAGGGTTGCCTACCCCTGCCATAGTGGAGCACTGACATCTGTGGATCACTGTGTGAATACAGGTATTATAAGCTATTTAGTGTTGCCAATCCCACTTACATTGCCTGTACTGTCTTTAGGCATTCCTTGAGAAGCTGATCTTTGGTGAGACCTATGCAGCTCACAGGTTTCACAGCGCACAGATCAACATCTCACACCCCTCAAATAGCAGGTTTACTGGTGCTGCACATATCAACATCTCACACCTCTCAAATAGCAGGTTTCCTGGTGCTGCACAGATCATCATCTCACACCTCTCAAATAGCAGGTTTACTGGTGCTGCACATATCAACATCTCACACCCCTCAAATAGCAGGTTTACTGGTGCTGCACAGATCAACATCTCACACCCCTCAAATAGCAGGTTTACTGGTGCTGCACAGATCAACATCTCACACCCCTCAAATAGCAGGTTTACTGGTGCTGCACAGATCAACATCTCACACCCCTCAAATAGCAGGTTTCCTGGTGCTGCACAGATCAACATCTCACACCCCTCAAATAGCAGGTTTACTGGTGCTGCACAGATCAACATCTCACACCCCTCAAATAGCAGGTTTACTGGTGCTGCACAGATCAACATCTCACACCCCTCAAATAGCAGAGGCCAAGAAAGAAGATGTCATGAACCCTCTACTGCTGGGGGCTGAATCAGGTTCACAGAGTGTTTCTTGGTAGTCTTAAACAAATCTACTTTGAAACAAAAGTATACACCTCACACACATGGTTATGGGCTTAAAAAAAAGAAGACACATGCACCATGTCAGATATAGAGTTGAAATGTATTCAATCTTGAGTTTGCATCCCAATATTACACTTTATATACATCACAGAAGACTGAAATATAACAAAATCGTTAGACATAGAAACACCAGATTTTCTGTGGTTGAAAAAAAAGTATGTTCATTAATAAAAAAATTATGAAAAATATGAATAACTTTCCACCCATAAGACCACTGGGTCATTTGACTGCAGGAAAGTGCTACGGACTGTCCACATGTGGAAGAAGTGTAATGGCAATACCACTTCATCAATTATCCTACTATATCATCTCACTGTTTCACTAACATTATAGAATATTATGGAGTCACACACAAACACACTATACATAATGGTTTCTAACACGGAACATCAGATGCATGTTTACATCCCATCTAGCCCGGACACACCACTAGACATTCACCATGTATCAGCGCTACATCCCATCTAGCCTGGATACACCACTAGACATTCACCATGTATCAGCGCTACATCCCATCTAGCCCGGATACACCACTAGACATTCACCATGTATCAGCGCTACATCCCATCTAGCCCGGATACACCACTAGACATTCACCATGTATCAGCGCTACATCCCATCTAGCCCGGATACACCACTAGACATTCACCATGTATCAGCGCTACATCCCATCTAGCCCGGATACACCACTAGACATTCACCATGTATCAGCGCTACATCCCATCTAGCCCGGACACACCACTAGACATTCACCATGTATCAGCGCTACATCCCATCTAGCCCGGATACACCACTAGACATTCACCATGTATCAGCGCTACATCCCATCTAGCCCGGATACACCACTAGACATTCACCATGTATCAGCGCTACATCCCATCTAGCCCATATACACCACTAGACATTCACCATGTATCAGCGCTACATCCCATCTAGCCCATATACACCACTAGACATTCACCATGTATCAGCGCTACATCCCATCTAGCCCGGATACACCACTAGACATTCACCATGTATCAGCGCTACATCCCATCTAGCCCATATACACCACTAGACATTCACCATGTATCAGCGCTACATCCCATCTTACTGACGATAAGTATATTTAGTTGATTAACGGTCCAAAGGCATCAGACACTTCTCCACTACAGTCTTATACAAACCAAGCCTTTTGAATACTACTGTGGAGGTTTATTGTATAGAAAATATTTGAATGACCTGTAAGACCAAATGCATATCAAATTGTTGAAGTCACTTGAAATGTGTCATGGTCTTCCGTCTGTAATCAAGCTTATGTTTGCACCTATAAAGACAGCATCATTGAGAACAACCCTTTCATTAAAATGTTGCAAGTGTAAAAACAATGTCAGTGGTCACATGATATAGAGCATCCATTGGACTGTATAAATCCTCCCTAGCAGCCACCATAGTACTACATTTACATTTCCTTCCCCGGGAGGAAGAGCAGCTCCGTCTTGCCGAGGTTCAGCTTGAGGTGGTGATCCGACATCCACACTGATATGTCTGCCAGACATGCAGAGATGCGATTCACCACCTGGTTATCAGAAGAAAATTAATTGTGTGTCGTCTGTGTAGCAATGATAGCATGGTGAGAGCACGTGGTGCGGAGACAGATTTTCGCCACGCCACCTGGTAGGAGCGATCCAAGTGTGAGCAGCGCCGGTGATGCCCAACTCGGAGAGGGTGGAGAGGAGGATCTGATGGTTCACAGTATCAAAGGCAGCAAATAGGTCTAGAAGGTTAAGAGCAGAGGAGAGAGAGTTAGCTTTAGCAGTGCGGAGAGCCTCTGTGACACAGAGAAGAGCAGTCTCAGTTGAATGACCAGTCTTGAAACCTGACTGGTTTGGATCAAGAAGGTCATTCTGAGAGAGATAGCAGGAGAGTTGGCTAGAGACGGCACGCTCAATAGTTTTGGAGAGAAAAGAAAGAAGGGATACTGGTCTGTAGTTGTTGACATCGGAGGGATCGAGTGTAGTTTTTTTGAGGAGGGGTGCAACGCTCGCTACATTTTAGTAATTTAGCTCTTATCCAGAGCCACTTAAAGGAGCAATTGGAGTTAAGTGCCTTATTCAAGGGCACATCTATAGATTTTTCAACTAGTCGGCTTGGGGATTTGAGCTAGCAACCTTTCGGTTACTGGTCCAACGCTCTTAACCACTATACTACCTGCTGCCCCCAAAAGGATAAAGTACGGTACAACCATTCACTATTATCTAACCGTCCTTCACTATTATCTAACCCTCCTTCACTATGTAATAAAATAGTGTTTCAGTCTCAATATGTGCTACATAGTAAATATTTAGACATGGATGACACCAGACCTAGATCCCTTATCTTATCTTATCTTATCTTATCTTATCTTATCTTATCTTATCTTATCTTAGTCGAGGCATATTTCTGAAGATGAACTCATGTTCTTACTGCTTTTTTTCTCCTCAGGAACTAGCCAGGCAACAACCCAGCCAGGCAACAACCCAGCCAGGCAACAACCCAGCCAGGCTACAACCCAGCCAGGCAACGACCCAGCCAGGCTACAACCCACAGGCAACAACCCAGCCAGGCAACAACCCAGCCAGGCAACAACCCAGCCAGGCTACAACCCAGCCAGGCTACAACCCAGCCAGGCAACAACCCAGCCAAGCAACAACCAAGCCAGGCTACAACCCAGCCAGGCAACAACCCAGCCAGGCAACAACCCAGCCAGGCAACAACCCAGCCAGGCAACAACCCAGCCAGGCTACAACCCAGCCAGGCAACAACCCAGCCAGGCAACAACCCAGCCAGGAAACGACCAAGCCAGGCAACAACCCAGCCAGGCAACAACCCAGCCAGGCAACGACCCAGCCAGGCTACAACCCACAGGCAACAACCCAGACAGGCAACAACCCAGCCAGGCTACAACCCACAGGCAACAACCCAGCCAGGCAACAACCCAGCCAGGCAACAACCCAGCCAGGCAACAACCCAGCCAGGCTACAACCCAGCCAGGCAACAACCCAGCCAGGCAACAACCCAGCCAGGCTACAACCCAGCCAGGCAACAACCCAGCCAGGCAACAACCCAGCCAGGCAACAACCCAGCCAGGCAACAACCCAGCCAGGCTACAACCCACAGGCAACAACCCAGACTAGCAACAACCCAGCCAGGCTACAACCCACAGGCAACAACCCAGCCAGGCAACAACCCAGCCAGGCAACAACCCAGCCAGGCTACAACCCAGCCAGGCAACAACCCAGCCAGGCAACAACCCAGCCAGGCTACAACCCAGCCAGACAACAACCCAGCCAGGCAACAACCCAGCCAGGCAACGACCAAGCCAGGCAACAACCCAGCCAGGCAACAACCCAGCCAGGCAACAACCCAGCCAGAATACAACCCACAGGCAACAGCCCAGACAGGCAACAACCCAGCCAGGCTACAACCCACAGGCAACAACCCAGCCAGGCAACAACCCAGCCAGGCAACAACCCAGCCAGGCAACACCCAGCCAGGCAACAACCCAGCCAGGCAGCAACCCAGCCAGGCAACAACCCAGCCAGGCAACGACCAAGCCAGGCAACAACCCAGCCAGGCAACAACCCAGCCAGGCAACAACCCAGCCAGGCTACAACCCACAGGCAACAACCCAGACAGGCAACAACCCAGCCAGGCTACAACCCACAGGCAACAACCCAGCCAGGCAACAACCCAGCCAGGCAACAACCCAGCCAGGCAACAACCCAGTCAGGCAACAACCCATCCAGGCAACAACCCAGCCAGGCTACAACCCAGCCAGGCAACAACCCAGCCAGGCAACAACCCAGCCAGGAAACGACCAAGCCAGGCAACAACCCAGCCAGGCAACAACCCAGCCAGGCAACGACCCAGCCAGGCTACAACCCACAGGCAACAACCCAGACAGGCAACAACCCAGCCAGGCTACAACCCACAGGCAACAACCCAATCAGGCAACAACCCAGCCAGGCAACAACCCAGCCAGGCAACAACCCAGCCAGGCTACAACCCAGCCAGGCAACAACCCAGCCAGGCAACAACCCAGCCAGGCTACAACCCAGCCAGGCAACAACCCAGCCAGGCAACAACCCAGCCAGGCAACGACCAAGCCAGGCAACAACCCAGCCAGGCAACAACCCAGCCAGGCAACAACCCAGCCAGGCTACAACCCACAGGCAACAACCCAGACTAGCAACAACCCAGCCAGGCTACAACCCACAGGCAACAACCCAGCCAGGCAACAACCCAGCCAGGCAACAACCCAGCCAGGCTACAACCCAGCCAGGCAACAACCCAGCCAGGCAACAACCCAGCCAGGCTACAACCCAGCCAGACAACAACCCAGCCAGGCAACAACCCAGCCAGGCAACGACCAAGCCAGGCAACAACCCAGCCAGGCAACAACCCAGCCAGGCAACAACCCAGCCAGAATACAACCCACAGGCAACAACCCAGACAGGCAACAACCCAGCCAGGCTACAACCCACAGGCAACAACCCAGCCAGGCAACAACCCAGCCAGGCAACAACCCAGCCAGGCAACACCCAGCCAGGCAACAACCCAGCCAGGCAGCAACCCAGCCAGGCAACAACCCAGCCAGGCAACGACCAAGCCAGGCAACAACCCAGCCAGGCAACAACCCAGCCAGGCAACAACCCAGCCAGGCTACAACCCAGCCAGGCAACAACCCAGCCAGGCAACAACCCAGCCAGGCAACGACCAAGCCAGGCAACAACCCAGCCAGGCAACAACCCAGCCAGGCAACAACCCAGCCAGGCTACAACCCACAGGCAACAACCCAGACAGGCAACAACCCAGCCAGGCTACAACCCACAGGCAACAACCCAGCCAGGCAACAACCCAGCCAGGCAACAACCCAGCCAGGCAACAACCCAGCCAGGCAACAACCCAGCCAGGCATCAACCCACAGGCTACTGTTCCATAAAGAAGTCAGCCAGAGTTGGTATCAAGATTGTCATGGGCCATCATTCAAACAAAGATTCCTCCCTGGCCACCAGTGCATATTTCCAAACTATGTTTGCATATAATGACAATCAAATCTCAAAACTATACTGGCATTCATTTGTCCATTAATTAATTGTTTAATATATTATATTCTTAGCTAGAAATATTGCTATTTATTAGTAGCCATAATTCATAAATGGCACCATACATGGTTCTATATGGAACCAATTTTGGTTCAGTTAAGAAGAACCCCTAGGGTTCTGATCAAATAACCCTATAAAACGGTTCTATATAGAACTTTTAAGGGCTTCATATATGAAGCAAGCGACAGAACCCTTTTTGGTTCTATATGGAAGTTGGAACCTGTTTTTATAAGAGTGCATCATAAACAACGTTTTTTAAGAAAGTTCCACTATGTGAGAAGTCTAACAAAGTTGTTCAGGACTACAAAAGGCAGGGAATTGTGAAACGGGTGGACAACGAAGACACAGAGAATCCTACTACCTACTACCTTCCACATCACACAGTCATAAAAGAGACTGACCACTAAACTCCGAATTGTATTCAATGTGTCATCCCATGCACAAGGGAGTAGGCCTAAGTCACTGAATAACTTAAGCAAGGCATATTGAAGGAAAACATGGTAAACCCAGTGAGTGAAACATGGAATTGAAAATTCAAAACACTGTTCTGAAAGTTGGACATGGAGAACAGAGAATGACGACTTTGTATTCGAGCTGCGCAATGAAGTTCATACAAAGAAAAAGTCCAGTGTCTGTGTTCTTTTGCCCATCTTAATATTTTATTTTTATTGGCCAGTCTGAGATATGGCTTTTTCTTTGCAACTCTGCCTAGAAGGTCAGCATCCCGGAGTCGCCTCTTCACTGTTGACATTGAGACTGGTGTTTTACGGGTACTATTTAATGAAGCTGCCAGTTGAGGACCTGTGAGGCGCCTGTTTCTCAAACTAGACACTCTAATGTATTTGTCTTCTTGCTCAGTTGTGCACGGGGGCCTCCCATTCCTCTTTCTATTCTGGTTAGAGCCAGTTTGCACTGTTCTGTGAAGGGAGTAGTACACAGCGTTGTACGAGATCTTCAGTTTCTTGGCAATTTCTCGCATGGAATAGCCTTAATTTCTCAGAACAAGAATATACTGACGAGTTTCAGAAGAAAGTTATTTGTTTCTGGCCATTTTGAGCCTGTAATCGAACCCACAATTGCTGATGCTTCATATACTCAACTAGTCTCAAGAAGGCCAGTTGTTTTGCTTCTTTAAATTAGCACAACAATTTTCACCTGTGCTAACATAATTGCAAAAGGGTTTTCTAATGATCAATTAGCCTTTTAAAATGATAAACTTGGATTAGCAAACACAACGTGCCATTGGAACACAGGATTGATGGTTGCTGATAATGGGCCTCTGTACGCCTATGTAGAGATTCCATTACAAATCAGCCGTTTCCAGCTACAATAGCCATTTACAACATTAACAATGTCTACTCTGTATTTCTGATCAATTTGATGTTATTTTAATGGACAAAAAAACCCAAGTACATTTCTAAGTGACCCCAAACTTTTGAACGGTAGTGTATATTCCATCTTAATCTCACTGTGAATGACTTCATACCATATTACTCAATATTTGTCATTGAAAACAATCAAATGTAACCTACCAGGAGTGTGAATACAGGAGATGATTCTGGTGATGTCCTGGACCTGTTTGAATGATTTGTCAATGAAAATTAATGACCTTATGTCTACTTGTGTCAGACACATTGATGATGTCATTTGCCAACCCTGCAGAAAATCGGCCTCATGCTTGTTGTTAAAATGACTCATAACAATTGTGTAAATAAACACAGCACAAAACAATTTGTGAAGCAGAAGCTGTGGCAGGACTAAGATTGAATCCTACTACACCGGCTCTGACGCTCGTCGGATGTGGCAGGGCTTGAAAACTATTACGGACTACAACGGGAAACCCAGTCGCGAGCTGCCAAGTGACCCGATCCTACCAAATGAGCTAAATGCCTTTTATGCTCGCTTCGAGGCAAGCAACACTGAAGCATGCATGAGAGCACCAGCTGTTTCGGACGACCGTGTGATCACGCTCTCCGTAGCCGATGTGAGCAAGACCTTTAAACAGGTCAACATTCACAAAGCCACGGGGCCAGACGGATTACCAGGACGTGTACTCAAAGCATGCGTGGACCAACTGGCAAGTGTCTTCACCGACATTTTCAACCTCTCCCTGACCGAGTCTGTAATACCTACATGTTTCAAACAGACCACCATAGTCCCTATGCCCAAGAAAGCGAAGGTAACCTGCCTAAACGATTACTGCCCCATAGCACTCACGTCGGTAGCCATGAAGTGCTTTGAAAGGCTGGTCATTGTCACACCCTGGTTCTGGGACTCATTATGTTGAGCCAGGGTGTGTGCAGTCTATGTGGTTTGGTTCTATGTTGGGTGTCAAAGTGTTGTAATTATGTTGATTAGTCATATGACTCCCAATCGGAGGTAACGAGTGTCAGCTGTCGGCTCGTTATCTCTGATTGGGAGCCATATTTATTCTGTATGTGTTCTTGTGGGCATTGTGGGTTATTGTTCCGTTTCTGTCAGTTTAGCAGAGGACTTCACGAATCGTCGTTTGTTTTGTATTTACGTGCTTTACTTTATTAAAGTTATCATGTTCACTCAACGCGCTGCGCTTTGGTCCGTTCATTCATCAGACGATCGTGACAGAATAACCCACCAGAAAAGGACCAAGCAGCGCGTCCAGGAGCAAAGGGTCTGGACATGGATGGAACTGTTGGACGGTAAAGGGTCCTGGACTTGGGAGGAGATCCTGGATGGTATGGATCGCCGACCATGGAACGAGACGGTGGAGAGGCGACGGCGAGAGGAGCAACGGCATCGGCAGGGCCATCATCGGAAGGACGGGAGGCAACCCCAAAAAGTTTTTGGGGGGGGGGCACATGGCTTGGGCGACTGAGCAGCAGGAGGCTGCCACAAGGCAGATTCAGAAGGCTACCAGGTTAAGGGGGCTGACGGAGGCAGAGAAGGGACGGATTCAGGAGGCTACCAGGTTAAGGGGGCGACTGGGAAAGGCAGGGAAGGAAGGTGTAGAGGCACGGCGAGAGGTACTGGGGTGTGTAACCAGTCCGGTCCGGCCCGTTCCTAATCCCGAGGTACAGCCAGTAGTGTGTGTCCCCAGTACGGTACGGCCTGTTCCGGCCCCTCGCACTAAGTGTACGGTGCGCGTCGCCAGCCCAGCCCGGCCTGTTCCTGAGCCTCATACGAAGCCTACGGTGCGCGTCGCCAGCCCAGCCCGGCCTGTTCCGGCCACTCGCACCAGGGATACGGTGCGCGTCGCCAGCCCAGCCCGGCCTGTTCCTACTCCACGCACCAGGGATACGGTGCGCGTCGCCAGCCCAGCCCGGCCTGTTCCGGCCACTCGCACCAGGGATACGGTGCGCGTCGCCAGCCCAGCCCGGCCTGTTCCTACTCCACGCACCAGGGATACGGTGCGCTTCGCCAGCCCGGCCCGGCCTGTTCCGGCCTCTCGCACCAGAGATACGGTGCGCGTCGCCAGCCCAGCCCGGCCTGTTCCTGCTCTCCGCACTAGGCCTTATGTGCGTCCCCAGGGTCCAGCATGCCCTGTTGCTGCTCTCCGCACTAGGCCTTATGTGCGTCCCCAGGGCCAAGCATGCCCTGTTGCTGCTTCCCGCACTAGCCCTGAGATGCGTGTCCTCAGCCCGGTACCTCCAGTTCCGGCACCACGCACCAGGCCTACGGTGCGCCTCAGACGGCCAGAGTCTGCCGTCTGCCCAACGGGGCCTGAACTGTCCGTCTGCCCAACGCCGTCTGAACTGCCCGTCTGCCCAACGGCGCCTGAACTGTCCGTCTGCCCAACGCCGTCTGAACTGCCCGTCTGCCCAACGGCGCCTGAACTGCCCGTCTGCCCAACGCCGTCTGAACTGTCCGTCTGCCCAACGCCGTCTGAACTGCCCGTCTGTACTGAGCCTGCAAAGCCGCCCGTCTGCCATGAGCCTTCAGAGCCGTCCGCCAGACCGGAGCCGCTAGAGCTCTCCGCCAGACAGGATCAGCCAGAGCCTTCCGCCAGACCGGATCAGCCAGAGCCTTCCGCCAGACAGGATCAGCCAGAGCCTTCCGCCAGACAGGATCAGCCAGAGCCTTCGGCCAGACAGGATCAGCCAGAGCC